CAACAGTGTCTAAAAACAAGCCAAGTGCCTGCAAACCCTTATTCACTTGAATAGTCACATTGAAGTTAATGGGATTACTCATGTGATTTAAGAGTTCGCAGAATTGGGTCCTTGGTACTGACAAGACTATCCTGATAAATATCACCCTAGAAAATTCAGTTACATTTTATAGTAGAATGACCCTAATTACATTGTAGTTACTCTGTAATGTCTGACTATAAAGTGTAACCCATGTAGTTAACCTTCTGGCTATAGGATTTTGTGCTACATATATATCAAAATGTATCATTTTTGCATAATTACAATTAAATTAATACCTTAAGCATGAAACTAACAGGGTATTAAAAAGTAATTAAGAACAGGAGTACTTGTGGCACCTTAGAGACTAACAAATTTATTTGAGCATAAGCTTTCGTGGGCTACAGCCTACTTCATCAGATGCATGTAAATTTGTTAGTCTCTAAGGTGCCACAAGTACTCCTGTTCTTTTTGCGGATACAGACTAACACGGCTACTACTCTGAAATAAGTAATTAAGTCACCTATTTAGCTTACTGATTATATGAATTTGTGGCATAACTATCCTGCAATTTTTTTTTATAATTCCAGTGGAACAACACTGTAATTACAAACACAGTATAATAAACCATAGGTAATTACAGCCACTGTATTGCAAAGTGATTCAGAAAATTCTTCTCCAAAACAAATCAATGATTCTTCTTCAACTGTTTGTAAATAGCCTCTGATCTTGGTAACTAAATGTTGCAATTGGGGGGGTCTTCCAGTGCAGACCATAATCACTGGAATCTTTCATTGCAGCATGAGGCTATGAGGACGAGGTACAGAGACACAAGCCAAACTCACCACTGGCATAAGCTGATCTAATGTCATTGAAATGGAGTGGCATTTTCTTATCCAAGGACTAAATTTGGCCTTCAGTTAGAAACTTTCACCACAAAACCATGAGAAACTGCCTTGGTCTCAAATTCCATTACAACCCGAACATTCAGCTCAGATTTGTTGAAAAGTTTACTTATCTGCGACCCATTTCAGGATCAGGTGAGCCAGGTGATGGTTTTGTGTTGAAACCATGTGGAATGTGTGGTTTCGATGCAAAATCAGGTGAAACTCCGAGGTTTAGAATGTATTTGAATTTCAGGTTGAGGATGTGTTCAGACTGAAACTCGAAGTGAAACCTGTGGCGGTGGGAGGAACTCCATGTACATCAGCTAAAAGGTTTGCACAAGCCCTTGTGAACCAAAAGTACTGAAAGTTACTCCCTACCATAGGGAGATATCGTACTATGCACTTTCATAACACCTTCCACTTGAGGACCTCAAACCACTTTAATCCAATGTTTATGAATTAAAATTCACATCACCTCAAGGAGGTTGTTATATCCCCAGTTTACTGATGGGGAAATGGGCCCTGAGAGGTTCTGACTTCCCCTAGGATACACCTGAAGTCAGTGACAAATCCAAGAACAGAAGTCAGTTCTATGACTTTTCAGCCCCATGATTTAGCCACAAGAGTATCCTTCTCCTAGCAATAATGTGAATGTAATACATAACTAATTCACAGTTCACAGCAAACGCCGAGGTAAGAAGCGAAAACTAGAGTCCACCTCTGGCTAGCCTGTCACAGGATGGCCAATTCAAAGTCTGCATAACGCTGTGTGTTAATGGATCTTTCCCCTGGGCACTCCAGCCTTTGACAGTATGGCAGTGCCCTGGCTTGCTCTTTCTGTCTGTATTCCAATGGGCAATTTACGGTCAGAGTTAGAAGGAAACAAGAAAGCCAAGAGCTCTGAGAGGCACTGACTACAGGGCACTTGTTGATCTTTTGTTTTTTTAAATCTGCCCCAATAGGCAATGGGTTTTCAAACATGCGTGAACGGAAGACATGAAAATGGGAAAATAACATAAACATTGTAAATGAAACACAACAAGCCTAGGGATTTATAATGAGATCTAAAGCCTTTCATCTCTAAATTCAAGATGGCTTGGATCAGCAGTGATGGGAAGTGGTTACTATCTGATGACGCCATGAATTGTGGTCTCAGCAAAGTTGCATCCTCAGCACAACCACAAACTGGCACTTTTACTTGCAACCACCACAGAAAGGCAGAGTACTAAATGAACAGAGATTAATCTGTTCTCTCACCCCTAAGGTGGGCCCTTCCATAATGTAGTAGGAAGAGAGCCTGAAACATAAGCCCTTGTATCAGAGGCCTGGTATGAGGCAGGCCCTGCTCAGAATCTGGCAAGAAGAGGGCTGATATTGCAGAAATACACATTCCTAAGAAGTGCTAAGCACAGAGTACTCACACAAACACATCCCAATATCAAGTGGTACCAGAACATCCCGATATCAAGGATGATACAAAAACATTCCCCAAGGATAACAGAAACACACTGACCCCTCCTAAAAGATCAGGTCAGGATGACACAACGTAACTTCTTTATCTCGGGGTATAAAGATATATCTCAGAGGGCGTATTTTTGGCCAGCCTCGGGGGCAGTGGAACATCCTGCCACTGACTGAGCTGAGTCCATTTTCACAGGCATACATGTCTTAGTATCCTTCTAGAGTCTGCCAGGTGCTATTACAGTGCTTCGTCAACAACCTGGCTGGGTGCCTTCGTACCTTAACGGATCTTGTGGTCATTGGGCAGTTCACTCGAGGTCTGCTGTGCCAACTGTCTGCAGAGCTGGGACAGCATACAGGGAGAACACACACATGCAGCCACATGTGAGAGTTAATGTACATGGGTTCAGTGTGGCAAAGTTTTCTTTGATGCTTTGTAGCTAGAGAACTTCAGTCTCCAGCACTGTCAGGACAGCACTTACCATGAGCAATAAATTCACTAAACTGAATAATACAAAAGTTTCATTTTGACTATATGTGGACAATACAGACCAAACAATAGTTGGCTGGTGAGAATTTCAGCTTGTGTATACTTTGCTTGAGTAGGTTCAAGATGTAAAAGGCTTTATTTTCCATTGCCTTGCACTTTGTGTGGTCACTTATACCTGCACAAATTTTAAAATGCTACACAATCCCAATAGTAGCATCTTACACCCACTTTGCATAAATATAATTGACTACACAGGATGCAAAGCAGGGGAGAATCAGGCCCTAAATTCAGCTCTGGATTGAGTTTGATTAAGGAGTTCAAATCTGGGGTTTTCATTTGGCTCATAAATAGAAGGGCCATTTGGAGAATTTGGCTCTGAAGCCAGAATTGGTTGAAGGCTATCTTTATACTTACTGTGACAGCAATGGTTGCTACTCATTAGCTACGTTTCCTTTCCTCACATCAATACACCATGAACCCACAAAGGAAATTGTTTACCTTGTATTTTTCTCTTTGTAACTGAACATAACCTACCTTTAGGATGTTACGGGATTCAGTGTCAGGGCCTCCCGAATTTTGCCCTTCCCCAGAGACCTATAATGAACTGTTTGAACAGGATGGCCAGGTCACTAGCTCACTGTTTACTGGTTAGGTGTGTGGAATACTCAGGAGGCTCAGACATCAGAAAACTTTGATTGGAGTCCACATTACTGCTGAAACACAAGGTAATTTTCAAAACATGCTCGCTCCAACACTTTCTTACTCAAACATGTTTTTTTGGGGCGAGCAGGGGGCAGGAAGAGTGCCTGTTCCAGGAGCAGAAAGCAGGGAGGAGAGTGTCTCAGTGGAGGCAGTGACAACATGTTTAAAAATAACACCTTCCCAGAAACACATTCCGTGCCTGGAACAGATCTCAGACCACCTTGTACTCTGGGACCCCCCCGCAAGACAGATTCGGGCTGCTCCTGTGTGGGCACACAGGGTAGAGAAGAGCATGCAGCGACCCCTGTCCTCCTACGGATCCCCCCTGCAGGGACAGCCACACGCCTGCGACGCGTGGTCCCGGAGCACATGGTGTGAGGGAGTCACCCAGGGCCGGTGCAATCATTTAGGCGACGTAGGCAGTTGCCTAGGGTGCTAGGATTTGGGGGGCACCATTTTCTTCAGCAGCGACCAGGGCGGCCGGATCTTCGGCCGCCCCGGTCACCGCCGGCATTTAGGCGGCGGGAGCTGGGGCAGTGGAGCGCGGGGAAGGCCACCTGCAGCAAGGGGGGGGCACGCAGGGGAACCCCCGCCCCAGCTCACCCCTGCCCCGCCTCCTCCCCGAGCACGCAGTGGCTGCTTCACTTCTCCCGCCTCCCAGGCTTGTGGCCCTAATCAGCTTGAGAAGTGAAGCAACGAAGGCACGTGCTCGGGGAAGAGGCGGGGCAGGGGTGAGCTGGGGTGGGGGGGGTGCCACAAAGGGGGGGAGCTGTTGCGGGGCAGGGGGGCCTCAGGGCAGGGGCTCAGGGACGGGGGGGCGCAAGGTGGAAGTTTCGCCTAAAGCGCAAAACATCCTTCCACCGGCCCGGGGTGGGGTAGGGGCCTGGTCCCACGTCCATGACGGTACAAAGCCGGTGCTGGCTGACCACCTGGTGCACCCTTCAACGCGCAGCAGCCTTCCCCATCGCCTCCGGCCACTGCGGCTCCGCACTGCTCCCTTCAGCAGCTTTCTGTGGCGCCCCCCGCCCGCCCGCCGGGAAGACGCGCAACGACACACACAGCGCGCCACCGGCACAGATCTGTCTCCGCGCCCGGCCCGGCCCGCCCCGCCCCGCCCCACTCCACTCCACTCCACTCCACTCCCCCAGCGCAGCCCCGGCGGCCAGAGGGGCCGATCAAGTCCCTGGCTCTACAAGCCCCGCCCCCTCCTTTCCTGTAAACCACGTCCCCTTGCGTACAGTTCCCGCTTGGCCCCGCCCCTTCCCTCGCTAGTAAAGTCTGGTCCCGCCCCTGGCCTAGTGGCCCCGCCTCCTCCCGGTGCCCCGCCCCCCTCCGCCTCAGCGAGGTGCTGCCCTCTCGCGCCACGAGGCCCCGCCCCCTGCTCCTCCTCAGGTGAGTGCGGGCCCCGCCCCCTCCGGAAACCGGCGCCGGTCCGTGGAGCGGGGCGGCCGCTGCGCTGCGCTGGCTGGGGTCATGGGGCGGGTGGCCGCGGCGTTCCCGCGTCTCCCCCCCTTCCTGCTGCTGCTGGTGCCCGGGGCCCTGGGGCTGCGGCTGCTCCTCAGCGCCCCGCCGCCCTTCGACTGCTCGCAGCCGGTAAGAGCCGCCCGGGCGGGGGGAACAGCGACCGCGGGGCGGGTCAGTCCGGGCCGCGGGGGGGCCCGCACCCTCCACCTGCCCCGGCGGGCGAGGACACGGGCCGGGGGCTGCTCCAATCCCGGCCCCTCGGCCGCTGAGGTGAAAGTCCCCCTCACTCTGCAAGGAGCGAGGCCCGGGGTGTGTCACCGGCACCCGCCCACCCCCGTTACAAGCCCCCCTTTTAGCGGCCCCGCCTGGCCGTGGGGTGGGTGGCAGCCGCCTGCCCACAGCGGGTTTGGTCCCCAGCCTTTCGCCCCGCATCACAAATCCGCCTTGAGCCCGACCTGTGACTGGGAGCAGCAGTGCCCTCCTGGCTGAGCCTAGGGGTGGGAATAGCTCCTAGCGCTCCCGTGATTTGCTCTTGTGAACTTTGATTAAAATCGATCACCCGCTGTTGCCACTTTTGGAAGCTGCTATTGTTCATTGTAGTGCCTCTGAAAATCAGGCATAAAGTGCCCCCATGTTTAGGCACCCAAAATCACTGACCGCTCTTTAAAATTTTGGTCTGAAATTCTGCCTCAGTTATCCCATCTGTAAAAAGGGAACAATACTTGGAATTTCTGTCAAGACCTGTGACATCTACTGATGAAAAGTCCTATTTAAGTGCAAGTAATTGAATACAAATCCAATTCTAATACAAGGTGGGATTTGAGGGTTTTTTTAACCATCCTCCAAAAGTCCATGGAAAAAATAATTTGCCTGCTACTGGTGGTTTTTAAATGATTTTCAAACACGTCTGCATTGTAGGCTACCTCTTAAGAGAGGGCTCTTGGAAACACTTCCAATCCCAGACTCTTTCGAGATATCTCACCTCCCATTCCCTGCAGCAACTGTGTACGTAATGTTTCTTTACAAGAAGAAATAATGTAAAGGCATTATTAAAGATACAGGATCAAAATAAGCTTGCTTTAATTCAGTAAGTGAAGATGCATGGTTTCCTCCTGTCTGCTGTTTAATTTTAAAATGTTTCTAGCCTTTGCAGTTGTGAGGAGTGTTTTAAATATAGATTTGAGGCAGCTGCTGCTCATATCTTTCCCAAGCAGCAGCAGAATGAAACTTGGGAGATTTTGGCTACTTTCACTGATCCTGTACAGACCTCTATGGGTAGTAGTTAAAATTAGCAGCATGGGGAAGCTATGAGATACTAGTACCAAAACTTTCCCTGCAAACCACTTTAATTTCTCCACGTCATCTTGTGATCTTGAATCAGCATTCTTGTGTGCTAGAAAATACAAGCTCTTCTTTGGAAATTGTCCCCTTTCTGAGAAAAGAATATTCCCAGAAACCTCTAGTAAACAGCAGCTATGGAGGGTCACTAGTGCTTGTTAATCTATTAAAAAGAAGGATTCACATGAGTAATTGTGAGAAGAAGAATAACTCACTCATTTGGATCAACCTTAGGGTGACCAGATAGCAAGTGTGAAAAATAGGAACACTTTTTTTTTCCGGGGTATATTGCATATATAAGACAAAGCCCCTAATATCAGGATGGTCCCAATAATATCAGGGCATCTGGTCACCCTAATCCAGCCTCCTTGCCCTTCTTGCAAATCATCTTGAAGAACCACACTTACTATGGTAAGCAACTAGGGTTTCTTGTGTTTAGCTAGTTAGCTTCTGGAAACCCTAAGGGAAGCCTGGTTTGGGACTAAATTAGTGGGAAGTGACTGATCAAATTCGTAATTCTTCATTGAGACAGAAGCAGCTGCACAGATCAACTTTGAGTACCACTCTTTTCATGGAAATTGCATAGGGATACTTTGAAACATATTCCCTATTGTAAATGGTCTTCAGTGCAGTTTTCTGTTTTCCATATATAACAGCAATACCACCATCCAGGTTGTGTATTTCCATGGTGATTAAAGTCCCATTGCCCAAGATATAATGAGATCCAGAAATGCACTGCTTGTCACACAATATTGCTCGTATTTGGGTTTTTCTACAGCTTTGGAAGCTGACTGTGATTGATGTGATCTGCACTTGACAAAGCAACTCTTATCTTAATGCTAAGCTAAAATATAAATAATGCAGAACTTGCCTGGTCGGATGACCAGTGTCTGGAATTAAGCCTGTCACTGACATGTTTGAAACAAGTAAGGGGCCCTGGCTGGCGCTAAGATTTGCCAAGCTGCCTGGAGTTCCTGGGCAAGATGTGGGGCTGTGCCAACATCTCCGGCTGTCACTTTTACCCTGTTATTTCTGCAGAGCGGAGCAAGACTGGCCATCTGAGGTGAAAATTAGGTGGCGCTTCTGCTGGAATAGTTGTAAGAATTTCAAATGCATATATTCTTGGATTTTTCCAAACACCGGTCTAGGGTCCCCTTTCTCTCTGTGTCACTCAGGCCTGGTGGCCAGGGTCGATGCCAGAGACCAGGGGTCAGAATGAGGGTCAGAAACTAAGGGCAGTAGCCTGAATTCGGGACTGGGGGCAGGGTCCACATACTGATCCCATGGGGCAGGAATAGAGCCAGAGTTCAAATGCTAAAGCCAGGAGTCAAAGCTGAAATCAGAGCTTCAGTACCAAAACTAGGGGTCAAAAGTCAGAGTCCCAGGACTGAAACCAGGGGGCAGAGCCAGAGACAGAGCCCAAGTACTGAAGCCAGGGGTCAAGATCATTCAAGGGCAAACGCAGAGGGTCCAAGCTGGTGTTGGGAGTCAGAGAGCGAGCAAAAGGCGGGTCTGCCACTATGGCTGGTGGGGGAAGTCACCTCATTGCATCAACACTTCCTGGAGCTCCTCTTGGGCTTAAATAGACCAATCAGGTGCCATGAGATAAGCTGTCAGCCCAGCCTTCTGAGGTGCTACTGCTGCTGGTGTTTGTTTCCACAAGGTCTGTGTGATAATTCATGCAGTCCTACCATGGGTCCATGCCTGATAATGGCATGGAGATGTCAGCCATCCCACAAACCTGTGTTCTAGTTCCATCCCTGCAGAACATCACTCTGTGGCACTAGTTGGAAGGAGTGTGAAATAGAAAATGTGTGATAGAGCTGTGTTCAGATGGATTAACCCAGAGATTTACCGACCTGAAGTGGAGCATAAATTCTGGCACTGGGTCCTGTTCCAGCTGTATACAAAGAGCTTGGAGGCAGAAATAGCTCTCTTCTCACTTATCGGGGGTAGCAGTGTTAGTCTGTATCCAGAAAAACAACAGGGAGTCTGGTGGCACCTTAAAGACTAACAGATTTATTTGGGCATAAGCTTTCGTGGGTAAAAAACCTCACTTCACACTTTTCACTTGACAACAGTAATGTTATGTATAATTTCAGGGTCACAAATATATGGGCAGACTGACTTTAACTTCTGGACTAGAAGTTTTATGTCATGCTGTGTTTTCTAACAAGTAATTTTCTCTATATATCAGATCTGACCATCTTTTGTATATATAATCCTTACACTTCCTTCACTGAAGGATGAGAGAGGTTTAAACGTGAGTAGAGCAGATGCACATCAGCAAATTAGTGAGTGATTTGTTTCTTGGGGCAGGCTACATTTTGTTTTCAACCTGACTCTATTCTTTCCTTCCCTGTAAAATCCCCTCTCTATTTAGATCAGCCTATAGTCTAGGGCAGGAGTGCCCAAACTAAGGTGTCTGAGCTTGATGTTCACCAATTATAATTAAGCAGGCCAAAAAAGAATTTGAAGACGCAAACACGCAAAAGACACAAAAATTAACAGCAAACATATTTTTAAGTATGTCAGAACCAGGAAGCTTGCCAAGCAATTTGTGAGGCCACTGGATGATCAGAGTGCTAAAGAACCACTCAAAGAAGACAAGGCCATTGTGGAGAAGCTACGTGAATTCTTTACATCCTTCCCGGCAGAGGATGTGAGAGAGATTCCCACACATGAGCCATTCTTTTTAGGTGACAAAACTGAGGAACTGTCCCAAACCGAGGTATTAGTAGAGGAGGTTTTGGAAAAAATTGACAAATTAAAGAACAATAAGTCACCAGGAACAAATGGTATTCACTCAAGAATTCTGAAGGAACTCAAATATGAAATTGCAGGACTAACAACTGTGGTATGTAACCTATTGCTTAAATCAGCCTCTCTACCAGATGACTGGAGGGTTGCTAATGTAATGTCAACTTTTTTTAAAAGGCTCTAGAGGCAGTCCTGGCAATTACAGGCTGTTAAGCTTAACTTCAGTACCAGGCAAATTGGTTGAAACCTTTGTAAAGAACAGAATTTTTAGACTCATAGATGAACGAAGTACATTGGAGAATAGTCAACACAGCTTTAGTAAAAGGAAGTCATGCTTCACCAATCTATTAGAATTCTTTGAGGGGTTCAACAAACATGGACAAAAGTGATCCAGTGGATAGAGTGCACTTGGACTTTAAGAAAGCCTTTGACAAGGTCCCTCACCAAGGCTCTTATGTAAAGTAAGCAGTAATGGGATAAGAGGGAAGGTCTTCTCATGGATCAGTACCTGGTAAAAGATAGGAAACAAAGGATAGGAATAAATGGTCAGTTTTCAAAGTGTAGAGAGGTAAATAGCAGGGTTCCTCAAGGAACTGTACAGAGACTGGTGCTGTTCAACATGTTCATAAATAATCTAAGGGGATAAATGGTGAGGTGGCAAAGTTTGCAGATGATACAAAATTATGCAAGATAGTTAAGTCCAAAGCTGACTGCAAAGAGTTAAAAAGGGATTTCATAAAACTGGGTGACTGGGAAACAAAATGGCAGATGCATTTCTTTGCATTTATCAATGTTGAATTTCACATTAGAAAATGTAATCCCAACTATACATACAAAATGGTGTGGTCTATATTAGCTGTTACCACTTAAGAAAAAGATCTTGAAGTCATTGTGGATAGTTCTCTGAAAATGTCAGCCCAATGTGCATCGACAGGCAAAAAAGCCAACAATGTTAGGAATCATTAGGAAAGGGATAGGAAACACAGGAAATATCAATTACACTATATAAATCCATAGTACACTCAAATCTT